TCTTGTTTTCATGATGCTGTGGTTCAGAGTCAAGCAGCTCTGGCCGTTCTCCTTTGTGAGTGTTTTCAACTGTGCTGCTGTGGCTGACTCAGTCTCCCAATTTGCTCTAAAATGTTTCCCTTTCATGGTCAATTTGACTTTGGGGAGGAGCCTAAATTCATCTGGGCAAGATCTGGTGGATAAGTGGATGGGGCATCACATTTTTATGGCCTGCCAGCCATATTCATTGTATTTTTGACCATGTGTTATAAAGAAACTCAGGAAAGAAGACTTCCAGAACTGCTTCAGAAAATGACAGGAGCAATGGGTGCCCATGTTTTGCCTTGCTTGCTGTGGCAATGCCAGTTCCACCCTAACAGTGAATTGCCATCGCTGAGGTGGCCACTGCCTCTGGAGGCAGGGGATGCTAGGCCTGGTTGTCCTATTAGGGGGAGCAGCTTGCTTTGTCCCCAGGTATCCCAAAGCCCAGAGGTGTAGGCTGGGCTGGGGCTGCAGTGCCAAAGGCAGCTGTGACATCCCTCTTGGCACAGGGGTGCTCTCTGTCACATGTACCATTGTCTTCTCTTAGATCTTCCCATCATCCCTCAGGGCCAGGTGTACACATTCCTAGGCTCATGTGTTGGTGTCCAGGAGACCACATAGCCATGTTATTGCCATAGGAGTTGCCTATGACTGAGACCAGCCCCTTCTGCCACTGTCACAGTTCTCCTGGCCTTTCTGAAGCCACCACTGCAGCCAACTGTTTTTGGTCACTCAAATTTGGGGTGGTGCTTCCACATGTGCATTCTTACGGGTTCTTTTTTTTTTTTTTTAAATGTATTTAGCACAGGGTCTACAGGGACTCACCACACAGATAGGACTTGTAGCAATCCTCTTGTTTTCAGCCTCCCAAGTACTGGGATTACAGGCACGCACCACCACGCCCAGTCTCAGTCACAGTCTCAGAGCACCCCTGGAGTGGGGCTGACGTGGCACACTAGGTATTGAACTGTCCAAGCAGATGCTTTAGTCTGCTGAGCTATTTGGCTGGCCATTCTTGTGGATTCTTACACCTTGGCTATGGGCCCCTGGGCCAGGCCATTGTCCTCCCTGGAACGCGACACAGTGACAAATCTCAGGCCTCTTCCCAGGAGTTGGAGACAAGCAGCACTGTGATAGGTTCTTCAGGTGTCTGAAATGCTCATTGTGCTAATTGTCTATGATAGAGTGACAGCTGCCCTTCACCCAGGTGACACTGACAGCACACTCCTGAAGGGTGGGAAGACCCCTGGAGAATGCCTGGTCTCAATGTCTTATAGAAGCCTTATGTTGGTCAAGATGTTGGCCAAGATGTAGTCACATGAGAATCTGATGTCATGAGGGAGTGTCCCCAAGATGACACATGCGCTGTCTGGCAACATGGGGCTGGCATTGGCAGGAGGCCTCTGTTCTCATCACAGGGAGTCTTCTTGGGCCAGCTCAGGTGTTCTCAGAAGGGCAGCAGTCGCTCCCAGGGTAGATGCTCCAAGGGGAGCCCTGGAGGAAGCCTAGGGTCTGTGGTGGTCTAGCTTTGAAGGTCATGGGTATCATTGTAAAGATTGGCCACATGCAGCCCTGAAGAGACTTTCAGGAGGTGGTGACAACAGATGGGGCCATTACAGTTGGAGAAGCCAGGCCTAAACCTGGCTCCCTCCAGGGCGTCACCCTAGGGTCTCTGCTCATGGTCCACCTGGACAGTCTGATGGAATGACGAGGACCATTTTATTCTTTCCTTCTCACTCTTAAGCTACAAGTTTCACCCAATTATTTCCATCACTTTTTGTTTATTAAGATAAATATTTAAGACTACGCATTTTTCTCTGAGGAGCACCATCTCTGCCACGGCATTTTTATTACTTCTGAATATTGTAAGCTCGGTTATTGCTTTCTTCCTTGATCCAAATGATGCTTAAGAGAGAGCATTAGCATTTCTATGAAAAGGGCCTTCATCTTAGTTCTGTCTAGTTTTACTGTACTGGGAGTAGAGAATTCTTTTCTGTACTTATTTTTTTTTTCCTTGAGACACCTTCTGGCTATGCAGTTGAGGCTGGCCTTGAACTCACTATGTAGCCCAGGCTGGCTCAAATTGACTGTTTTGCTTGTGTCTAGATATGCTCCCGAAGCCTCATGTGGTCGTAGGGGGGCAGACTGTCCAGAGGTGTGTAGATCTGAGGAATGTGAGGCTGGGATCAAGGGTGTGTGATGGTTGAATCAGTCCACTGGATGATTTGGCATCGTTCTGGGTGGGTTAAGGGCATGAATGCTTCACCCACCCCAGGGCTGGTAGTGGGAATAAAATGCAAGGTACAGCAAGGGGGCTAGTGGTCTCTTACTGCCCACTTGTCCTAGATAATTTCTCCTCCATGATGCCCCTCTGCCATGGAGCCAGCTCACCATGGACTGACACCTTTTACAAACCGTGAGCCGAACAAATCTTTACCCCTTTAACTTTGGATGTCAGGTATTTTGTCTCAGCAAGAGAAAAGTAACTAAGACACTCATGGTAATCCTCATGCCTCAGGCTCCCAAGTGCTGGGATTACAGGTGTGTGCCACTGTGCCAATTGTAGTGTTACTGTGCGTAAGAAAAAAAAATACTGTTCTGGGTTCGGGCTGGAGCTCAGCGGTGAGTGCTTGCCTGGTGTGCACGGCCCCTGGTTCCACCTCCAACACTGCACAGACAAACAAAAAAGTAGGCAAGAATCTCTTTGTCCCCCATCCTGCCTGGGCACGCCACATCTCCCTCTGGACAGGTATTTGCAACCCTGCTGATGGCTTTTCTGTTAAGCGCTGTACATCTTCCCCACAGACTACTGATTCTGGACATTCAACTGCTAGGTAGCCTCCTCTGGCACCTTCAGTCTGTTCTGTTAAGTTCTCTGGACATCCTATTGGGATTTGTGGTTGAATCTTTGGCCTGATTTCTGGTGGTCTATGTGAATATTGTTCACAGCCAAGCCATTGAGAGTACCTTATGAGTATGTTTTTTTCCTGTGCAATTTCTGCTTTGTAATTGCCCTTTTCAGGAGTTATTATTATTATTAAAATATATTAGGAACACCCTTGCCCATTTAAACTTTTTCTTGACAGTGCCTCCTGGATCCCCAATGTCTGAACTGGCTACTGGCTACTTGGTTCTTTCTGTCCTCATTCCTCCCCAAATGTCTTCTCTGCCCTTGTGTTCTGGCCTGAGTCTGGGGCCCTACGACCCCTTTCCCAACTTGTGCCCTCAGATACCAAGTACATATTCCAGTAGGCATCTTAGTAAATGTACACCATACTTTTGAAGACTTGTACTTTTAAAAATATTTTATTTTACATTTAACTTTTAAAATACGTATTTTCCATGAATTTAATCCACCCCCTATTTCTGTGGGTTTCCTACGGATGGATTCCACCAACCACAGATCAAAAATCTTACTAAAAATTGAACGCTTATAGATTTATTCCCTAGATGATATGATATAACAAGTACTTACAGAACTTTATATTGTGTTAGGTGAGATGAGAAACCCAGAGATGCTTTAAAGTGCAAAAGAGGACGCCCGCTGGTTATTCGCAAGCATTGCCATTTAATATGGGACTTGAGCATCTGAGGGTCTTGGGGGTAAAGCACAGCCCTATGGATATTGCTTAGCCACTGTCCTTGTCACTGGGGCACAGGAGTCCTCCTCACTCACAATTTAAAGTAGAGGTTTATCTTGGGTCACATTTCAATCCATGGTCAGCAACTCCAAAAGAGAAAAGCTAAGGGCTTGGCAGAGTAGGGGTGCTCACCTTATGGTGGCCAGGAAGCAGGGTGGGGAGGGAGGAGCCAAAAGGGACGTATCTTCTGGGGTTGCACTCCCGGTGACCACCTGACCAGGCTCCACTTCCAGCAGCAAGTCAGTTAGGAGCCCCATCGCCCACTTACCTCCCCAAAGGCCCACCCCGATCATGTAAGGCTTTGCAAGAGGTCTAGTATAAACTATCACAGGTACGAAGGAACACTCATCTGGCTGGGGGTGGAGTTCTAGGTAAGAGGATGTTTTCCATGTTGTATGAAAGGAGAGAACGTTAAGACTCCCCTTGACTAGGATGGAAGAGGCCCTCGGGCTTGGAAACACGCAGACAGTTAAGGCATTGCCACCTGCTTCATGGCATCTAACCACTGTTTTTCTAAGCAGGATGGTTTGGACAACCATACTGTGCATTTCTGCTGGTCTATGGAAAGGGGAAGTTAATGCTTAATTTGTTTTGTCTCCTTTCTTCAATTCTTTGACCTTTTCCTTTTCTTAATATCTTACATATTTCTTTCTATTTCCAATTTTACATGCATACATCTGGTAATATGAACAGCTAGTTTGAAGACAACACTATGCATTACAAGAAATACTGTGAAAGTAATATTTTGTTAAGTGAAATTCTGTATCACTTGTAAATTTTCTGTTTTAATGCTATTCTGTATTTTCTTTAAAAAATAAAAAAAGAAGAGGATGTTTTCCTCCAGCACTTGGAGCCACTGTGTCATTGGACCCTCCCCTTGAGCACTGCTGGTCAGCGGACTACGGAGTTAGAGGGCTGCGCCTTTCCGGTGACCTGTTTTGATTTCTTGGAAGGTGTGTGACTGTCTCTTTTTTGTGATGCTCTGGCACTTCGTGGTAATGTGCCTTGTGGGTCTTTTCATGGAGCACTTCAATGTTGTTATGATTTGTGTCTAGTTGTCCCCCCCAGAGCCTCATGCAGTCTTGGGGTTTCTGGAGTTTGTGATTGATTACTGTGGGTGTGGATGCTATGCCTGCCCTGGGGCAGGTAATTTGCATTATAACATAAGGTAGGAAGAGAAGCTAGCGCTCTGAGCTGCTGCTACCACTCCCTTGTGCTCTTGCTCTTTGCTGCCACCATGAAAGTTTGCTTTCTGCTATGTGCTGCTCTGCCTTGGACCCAGCTGAATATGGACTGAAACCTCCACTAACTGTGAGCTAAATAAACCTTTCCTTCCTTTGGTTTGGGTGTTGGGTATTTGTTCCAGCAATGAGAGAAGAGTAACTAAGACAAGTGTGGAGATGAATATCCTCCTGTGTAGCAGAGTTCTCTTTGTTACTTCATGGCTGATCTTCTCTTTACTTTTCTCTGCTCTCTCTTGATTCCTTGGGCATCCTGGACTAGCCAGGTGATCTTTGTTATAGTCTCTTTTCTTTTTGGACTTGATCTACTCTCTAGAGGAATTCTTTAGTTGGATCTTTTAATCATCCTATTGAATTTTCAAACTTATGCTGTACATATTTCATTTCTCAGAGTACATTCCAGGCCTGAGAATCTCTGTTATGGTTCCCCCTTTTTTTTCCCCCTCTTGTGGACCTTTCCTATTTTTCTGAAAGT